GGAGGTACGTCGAGTTAACACCTCGCATGTAGCTGCTCACAGCAGTGGCCTCAGCCCACACTGGAGCAGCGTACAGCAACTGCGACTTGAAAACAGTCGCGAGGAGCCTGCGTCTGTCCTGCTTCGGTCCCCTGGTATTCAGCAGGATCCTGCAGAGCGATCCTGTGGTTTCGCTTGCCTTCTTGTTTACGAACTCCAGGTGTTCGCGGTAGGAGAGGTGGGTGTCCAGCATGACTCCCAGGAACCTTATGGCACGCTGAGAAGTTATCGTTGTCCCTCCGATCTGAGTATGCGCCGACTCCACTGCTTTCCTGCTTGAAATCAGCACCGCTTCAGTTTTGTGTGAGGCCAGCTCTAGACCCTCCACTGCGAGCCACTGCTCCACTGCTCTAATTGCGCAGTTTGCAGCTGCCTCCACGGCAGCAACTTCCTTGGCCACCACAACCAACGCTACGTCATCTGCAAAGTCAACAATGTTGGCGCTGCTCGGCAGTGGGAGCTTCAGAACTCCGTCATACATCGAGTTCCAAAGCAGAGGGCCCAGTACCGAGCCCTGAGGAACACCGGCTGCCACCTCGTAAGTCCTGGGGCCCACAAAGGTATTTGCTGAGATAGCTGTGCACTACATTCAGCAGGTATTCCGGGATGTTGAAGGACCGAAGTGCCTCCAGTGTCCTCCCCCAATCGGCTGAGTTGAACGCGTTCCGTATGTCCAGCGTGACCACTAGACAATACTTTTTCGTCCCACCCTTCCATCTGGTACCAGCGATGGCTTTAGCAGCAATGTTGGTGACCCTCTATCGCGTCCAGTGTAGATTTCCCTTTCCGGAAACCGTACTGGTTGGAAGAGAGTCCACAGCGTTAAGCCTTGTTGCAATGACCCTTTCGAAGACCTTGCCTATAGTGTCCAGCAGGCAGATGGGTCTATAGGAAGAAGCTTCGCCCGCAGGTTTCCCTGGCTTCGGCAGGAGCAGAAGTTTTTGACGCGTCCACCTGTCGGGGAAGGTCCCTTCCAGCAGGCACGAGTTGTAGAGCGATGCTACCGCGCCCGGATGGAGGGATAGCAGGGTCTTCACTGCCCTGTTCGGGACCAAATCCGGCCCGGGTGCCTTCCTGCTCTTCAGGTTCCTTGGCACAGACAATAGTTCCGTCTCCGTGACCGGACATATCTGGCTCCCAATTTGTCGCGTCCATCGGGGGATGCAATGGCGGCGACCCTCTGGCAACAGCACTTGGACAATGCCTTCCAGGACCGCCGGGTCAGTAGGCGACCTGTTGCCGGCACTCACACGCTTGACCACCGTCTTGTAGGCTCTTCCCCATGGGTCGTTTTCCAGCTCGTCACAGAGCTTGAGGTAGCTCTCCCTCTTGCTGCCCCGAATCTATCTGGACTAACCTCCTCGCTCCACCAGTACACTGGCGCGTGGTGCTTCCGAAAGGTCTTACGCTGCTGCATGCTTTGGTCACAGGCTTCCTCCAGTCTGGCTGCCAATTTGTTCGCTGCTACATCTGCCGAGTCCAGCTCAGATACAGCCAATCCCTCCAGTGCGCTGGCGAAGGTCTGTGTCCTAAAGGTGTCCTGGCGGTAGGCTTTTCTTGGCCCAGTCATCGGCTGGCTTTGGCACGGTGGACCGCCAACTGTCAGCAGGATGGCTTCATGGCCGTGAACACCACGCCTATCCTCCAGCGTGTGCTACGGGATAACGAGCTGCTCGCGAACGATAGGTCTATGATTGAACCGGCCCCAGCTCTGTTGAAGGTGTGCTGGGAGCCCTCGTTCAACAGGTCGATGTCCAGTGACGCAATTGCTTCAAGGATGGTGCGCCCCCTGGCGTTGGTATAGAGGGAGCCCCATTCCTCGGCCCAGGCGTTAAAGTCGCCTCCGATCACCACGTTGCTCCTTCCTCTCAGGTCGCTGATCAGCTCGTCCAGGATCCTGCTAAAGGACGTCAGTGATAGACTGGGGGCCAGGTAGCAGCTGTAGATCCATGTGCCGCCTACGTTGGCTCGGACAAATCCCTACGTTGGCTCGGACTGCCCTCGTGTCCCGCATTGGTGGAACACTCACACCGCAGAGCCACAGTGCCGCTTCGCCTGTGCGATCCGTGACCCAATCGCTGCTGCTTTCCACTCTGTAGGGCTCACTGAGTATCGCCACCTCAGAACCCAGCTCGCGCACCGTCTGCTTCAGGAGGTCCTGCGCGGCCCTACAATGGTTCAGATTTAGCTGAATCAATTGCATGACGGCCGAGGTCTCCCTGTCCCGATGGTTGTGGCTGGGCAGAGTCTGCTTCCTGCCTGGTGCCTGGTCTCCTTTCTTCCTGCCGCAGAGCAGAATAAGCATGAAGCCTCCTTGCTGCACTTGGCTGCCTTGTGCCCTTTTTCACCACATCTTATGCAGCAATCGCTCCTGTCCACTAGGCTCTTGCAGTTAACTGAAATATGCCCGGATTCCAAGCATTTGAAACATCTTGGGGGCCCTGTTCTTTCCCGGATCCTGCAGATGGTCCATCCAATCCGCACCTCGCCACGATGGAGGACGGCGTTCCCCAGGGAGTAGGGCAAACTGATCACAGCTAACTGCGACTCCGCGTAGCCTCGACGCAGACTCCGAACGCTGATGCGCTCCGCGTCGATACCATACTGGCTCGCAATCGCAGCGCAGATTTCCTGCTCCGTCGCGATGGAGTCGATGTCTCTTATCTCCAGAACGAGCAGTTTGGTCTCGTCCGACATGGCTCGCACTGACGCTGCGTCGCCTAACACCCTCGCAATGCTCTCCTTCATAGCTTCTGCACTTTCTGCGCTGCCTTTGGCCACCTCGAGCAGTAGGTTGCCGTTAATGGTGCGGCGTACCTTGGATACACAGCTTCCCAGCCCGGGGTGAGATGAGTTGTGTGGGTAGGGAAGAGGTAGGTTCAAAGAGTGTGGGAAGGGGGTATGTGTGCGCTATTTGTCGGAGGCGGCAGCACAAGCGCGACGTCGGTACTGCTACGGCGCAGATACCCGCTGACTGTCCGGGGCTCTTTATTTACGCTTCGTGTTGGGGGCTTATTCGTAGCTACCCTGGAGAACCAGGGCGCTCGCTATCCGCAATCTGCGACCCGTTCGGTAGCCTTCAGCTCGGCGTCCTCCGAGCCATCCCACTAACTCTTTGGCCCGAACTTGGTAATTGGTATAAAGCAAGTTTCAACACTTTCACTCTAAAAATTATATATAAACCATACGCCGAAAAGTTATTAAGTGAATGCAGCTAATCTGGGAATAACATTTAACAATACTTAATCATGGAGCTACCATATAGTCTAAGCGACAGGACGTACATATGCTCTGTTGAGAAAACTTTCATTCTCTAAATCGTTCCTAACTGAGGAAGTTAGATTATTAATCGCCAAAGTTATCCTTATGCGCATTTTTTTACGGCATAGAAATTTTTGGAAATTGTTATGCGCGGGATATGCGCACATTAACTATAGCTTTTAATTCAATTGTCCGTTCTGTGTTTAACTTAAGACGTTTTGACCATGTATCACAACTGACTTGATTTACCAACGGATTGTCGTGATCAATGGTGCATATTCTCCGTTAAGGTTCAGCCTTCAAGAAAACAACATAAAACTAATTTGGATCAATCGATAGGTATTGACGAGACTAATACATATCAGTTAAAATTTGTTTCCAGCATAAAAATTGTGGTCGCCAATGGTTTAGGCGGTTTGTGGGCGTTAGAGTGGTAAACTTTTTTTGGATCAATCGATAGGTATTGACGAGACCAATACATTTCAGTTAAAATTTGTTATCTAGCATGAAAATTGTGGGCGCCACAGGCTTGGGCGGTTTGTGGGCGTTAGAGTGGGCGTGACTTATTCGTGTAACAAGCTTGCGCTGCGTACAAGGCTACGGAATTTAAATCTGAGATCCCATTTCTCTATGTTTGATAGTTTCCGAGATATCCGCGTTCATATTTACGATTTTTCGAAGTTTGTTGGCGGCTTCTGGGCGTTAAAGTGGGCGTGGCAATCTATAGGTATTGATGAGAGCAATACACTTCAGTTAAAAATTTTTATCTAGCATGGAAATTGTGGGCGCCACAGACTTGGGCGGCTTGTGGGCGTGGCCTATTCGCGTTACAAACTTGCGCTGCGTACAAGGCTACGCAATCGAAATCTAAAATCCCAATTCTCTATCATTGATAGTTTCCGAGGTATCCGCGTTCATATTTACAATATTTTGAATTTTATGGGCGTTAAAGTGGGCGTGGCAAACTTTGGTTCAATCGATAGGTGTTAATAAGAACTACCCCTTTCAGATAAAATTTTTATTCTAACATCAAAACTGTAGGAGCCACAGTTTTAGGCAGCTGGTGGGCGTTAGGGTGGACGTGGCACTTGGATGAAATAAACTTGCTTAATCTTTAAACTTAATTTAAGCCTTATAGCTTTTTTTAGTTTACAAGATCTTAGTGCTTATACGGACTACGGATTCTGCACATAAATATTTGAAGAGTTCTTCTACCTGTTACATATTTTCGAACGAATATTTTACACATATTTAATATTTATGGACTCACTGTAACCATTGTTTTTACTTATGCACGGATAAAATAACAGTTTTTGGTTGATTTGCGATGCAAATCCTTATTAACTCAGAATGTTACCTTTAAGCGAAGAGGCGGGTTGAGAATTAAAGTCTTGTAGCGACGGTATTGCAAAGAAGACTTTAACTGTGTAACAACACGTTCAGCAGCAATAATTAGAAAAGTCCTGCTCACAAATATAATTTTATATTCGCTGAAGACATTTTTGCAGTTGGACAATATCAAAGCTTACACACCGTTCTGGACGGTGGCCAAAAATAACTGAGCTCAACCTCAGAGCAACAATTCCGAGGAATTGTTTGTAAAGGTCATTACCCGCAATTGCAAAAGCAAACAACATTTCGTGTTTAAAATATTTTTCTGGTGTTCAGCTCTCATAATTTTTGTAACCTTTTTCATTTAGGAAGTAGTGGTCGCCAGCTCTGTATCTGTAATCACCGGCATGCTTAATCTGATGAGAAACTGTCCCAAGGAAGCCGCTCATCTCAGGAAAGAGCTCTTAATTGCAGCCCGTCATATTTTTGCCACGGACTTACGTCAAAGTAAGTTTCTATATTATATTTGATATAATTTTAAGTATAATCCTTATTGCTGTGAAAAGGTTGCTCAACATGACCAACACCCAGCAAATCAAGCAGCAGCCAAGTAGGGAACAGTACCAGGCGCTCAGTAGCGCCCAATCCAGATGAGAATTGCTGATCAGCATATTATATGTCTCACTCACACCGTCTCACCTACTCAACGGTAAACTGACCCGCCAATGCAGTCAGCACATTTTGTAGTGTCAGCCGAGCCAACTACGCAAACTGCTACCATAATCAAAATTCCCTGACATACTCTAGATTATAGCTTATTTCACTAATCGTTACACTAAACTTCCGTGTTCCAAGTAGTATATTAACATGTATCAATTATAGAATAAATCAGTTATCAACGCAACCTATAACTCCGCGGTTCTACTTTCCACCTCCGGGAATAGAGCTCGTAATCCTACACTATCTCAACTAGCAGCTAACCACGTTAGATTAACCTCAGCTCAGTTCTCGCATCGCCTGTGGTCCGGCATCGCAGTAACCATCGTTATTGCGAGTGTTTACTTCGGTTAGGCACAGACACACACCATTTTAATGTGGTAAGAAATAAAAAATCCTCACATAAACAAATTTAATATTGGTCATGTACAGTTATAAGAATTCTTAAGGGTAGAACAATTTTGGAGATGACAAAGAGCACCGGAATATTTTGCAAAAGCGACTGAAAACTTGTATTTTAATTTTGTTACACAGCTTGGCACTTACTCTTTTTCTACGTTTTTAGCAAAAACCCGCTAGCTTAGAGGAAAAAAAGTTGAAATAAGCTATTATAATTAGTTAACTTCATAAACATAATTTGTGGAAATACCATAGCTTAAAAGTATGGTCGAAAGTGACACATTGTCTTTAGAACTATGAACATTGAAAAAATTGACCTTTTTTAAAAAAGCTGCAATACTTTGATTTAGAAATTGTGACTGCAAAGATAACAGCTTAAATTTTACGTCATCATTAAATCGCAAAAAAATACTGTTAAAGAGCATTCTAAGTGGAGTTTTTGGAACGGAATGGTATGTTCTTTATAAATTAATTTTGACTAATTTTGAGGAGGAGCTGGAGCAAAGACTACTACAGTAGTTTACAAAATACCATTGTCAAAACTAAGATTCGGTTGCCGATTACAACATACAAATTATTTCTAAAACCCCTCAGAAATCGGATTTTATACGAATTTTTCAAGCTTAAGGATCAGAAATTTGTTGTTTGTTAAGGCCTGTAAGGAGCATTCTTAGAGGCGTGTATATCAATTAATGGAGAATACAAGGCTGAAAGAGTAAAAAATAACCGGCTTTCTTAGCTTTTATCTCTTCGTACCGTTTCTTTTGGAGTGAAATAATATAGGAATACAGTTTACTCGCTGTAATGGTAGTTCTAAGCCATTAACAAAGTCATGGAGAGATAAAGAAATACCAAGAAGACTGAAGTCACCCAAAACAATGTAAAAGAAAGAGATGAAAAAGGGATACACAAACAAATGGTGCTTATAAATTATTTAGTCAGTTCCAGGTGGAATATAATAACAGTTAATATAAAAAAGACCGAAGGACTTGCAAGGAAACTTTACGCTAACAAATTCAATGCCATTGGGTTCTCTTCGATGTTAAGGTCCAACCGCTTAGGTAATATACCATTCATGTTTTTTTACTCAGGTACCACAGTCAAAGTCCTATTATTGGTTCTCTGTCTATTGGAAACAAGTTCTTTAATTACCAATTCAAGGCAAAAACTTCTGGAATTTGGTACATTAAATATTTCGGGCGGAGCAGGTATTTGAATGGAAGATATCTTTCGAACGCAATAAAATCTGAATTGTTCCATCATAATTTGACACTGGCGACTCCTCCAAAGATAGCTGTACCTGTAGGTACAGTACACACCGAATTGTTTGACCACCAGGCTGAATTCCGGAACCAGGGACTTCTCCAGACCTCAAAGTACCTTAAAGCACAGTCGCCACTTATGTTTTTGACTTCGAAGAACTCAATTGCGTTGCAAACGTTTGAAAAGTGTAAAAGTGTAAGCAGTTCCAACAACAATTTCCATGCAAAATAGTTTTCAAGGCCTACAACACCCCAGCCCATGTATACAAATCTGTTGTACTTGTGAAGAAATAGGGGGTTAATAATGGGTAGGAATTTTATCTAAAATACTAAAAATATACTGAAAAGTTGGGTTTAAATCCATGGTAATGACAGTGAAAGGAAAGAAACAAATTTGAATTTTAAATGCAAAAGAAAAAAATTTGTCTTCTTTCTTTTGTACGTCAATTTCCTGCAACGATATTTTAAAATAGAGGGCGTTCACAATTCTCGTCTGGCAAACATACAAAGTTTACACTTTTGCAACGCAATTGAATACCCTAATTGATTTCTTTTCGTTTTGAACTCCTGTTTATTTTGGCATGAGCACAATATACTAAAAATACTTAGGGTATTCAATTGCGTTGCAAAAGTGTAAACTTTGTAAGTTTGCCAGACGAGAATTGTGAACGCCCTCTATTTTAAAATATCGTTGCAGGAAATTGACGTACAAAATAACGCCAACTTTTAAATTTTTGTGAAAAGAAGGCTATGATATTTTCTGTCATTAAAACCCAACTTTTCAGTATATTTTTAGTATTTTAGATAAAATTCCTACCTATTATTAACCCCCTATTTCTACACAAGTACAACAGATTTGTATACATAGGCTGGGGTGTTGTAGGCCTTGAAAACTATTTTGTATGGAAATTGTTGTTGGAACTGCTTACACTTTTACACTTTTCAAACGATTGCAACGCAATTGAATACCCTAACTATGTAAAACAGCTTGGGATCGGAAATGAAATCTTTTGTTTTATATGTACGAAGGTACACGGTAAACGGTAGATAGTGATTAATGTGAATAAGCTATTAAGGACCCATTATAATTCGAATAAAATTTAAAATGCAACATATTTTCATTCCGTTTCAAAGTGGGAGTTAATTGTATATTCGAACTTTGCACATACACTAATAGTTATATTTTATTTTATAGAATTCATTCCTTCAATTGAAAAACTACTTGACGACGACTTGCTTATCGGAAAAGGCGTCACATTGGAATCTATTCGCCCTTTAGCATATTCAACATTAGCAGACCTTGCTCACCATGTTCGCCAAAGCCTGAGCTTAGACGTATTAACAAAAGCAGTAAATCTATTTTCAAAAAATGTTCATGATGAAACACTTGCCGTTGGAATACAAACCATGTCTTGCAAGCTCTTATTAAACTTGGTTGATTGCTTACGACAACACAGTGAAATAGAGCCTCATAGATCAAGAGCTATACTTACAAAACTTTTAAAAGTGTTTGTAAAAAAATTTGAAACTATTGCCAAAGTGCAGCTTCCATTAATAATTCAAAAATGGTAAGTACAATCCTAAATTTCTGTTTTGATAACTGGTGAATACTTTGAAAAAATTTTTTACTCGTGGCTTGGTAAAGCCAACATTTTTATTCCAGGCAAGGCCATACCATCCATTATGAAAAATTATTTCTTTTTTTATAAAAATTAACTAATTACACAGGTACTTAGCCGAAAATTTCCATGAACCATTCCTACTCTTCCATGATAATTCGGTCCTTCTGAGTAAAGTCTCATAAAAATTTTTGTGCTATCAACTAAAGATTCTGCGAAATAGCTAAGAATGCAAAAAACCGAAGTATACCTATTTTTCGAAAAGAAAAATAATTTTTTTCCGGTTTATTTTGTTTTTTAAGATTTGGCCTTCTACCGGACGGATGGCCAGACAAATATAACTAGATCGAATGAGCTGCCAATCCTGATCAGTAGTATATATACTTTATATACAGCTGTGTTCATTGAAATAGCAGTGCATACGACCTGCACGTGAAAATCGAAAAACAACACAACATTGAAACAAAACCTAAATACAACAGTTTTAATTATTTATTGGGTTGGGTACTTCAATATTTTAGCAAATATGGATAATAACAAAAAAGAAAAACTGAATTATGGTGTTCATTGAAATAGCAGTCCTAAAACAAAAATATGAAAAAATTCAATATGGCTCATAAATAACTTAATCCTACTAAATATCGATTTGATTACGACCAAATATTTTATTGTATAGCCTTTATTGGCTATTACAGGCTAACACCTACGTGGCATGGAGTCTACCAAGTCCTTGCCACGTTAGCGGGAAATCTGACCCTAACCCTCCTGCACAACTTGCCAAAGCTGCGGCTTAGAAGTCGGGGATTTCATGGCAACATAACGCTTATGACCTTCGATAAGTTCTCAATCGGATTTAAATCCGGGGACTGTGCTGGACACGGCATTACGTCAATTTGTTATTGGCTAAACCATTCCTTGACCAATTTGTTGGTGTGTTTAGGATCATTGTCCTGCTGAAATGTCCATATAAAGGACATTTCATCATCAGTTTACGGCAGAATGTCGTTTCTCAGTATATTTACGAAAACATGTTGGCCCATGATCTCATCGATCAAACGTATGGGGCCCACACCGCTGTATGAGAAACATGCCCATACCATGATTTTAAGGCCACCTGCTCAACGGTCTTGAGATTTTGTTTTGGGTGGTACCCGGTGTTTGGTGGTCGACGGACATATTATTATGAACCTGTTCCAACAAAAACCACCAGCTAAGACTCACCTGTCCAAAGGATTCATCGGCCTTTTGAAAGTGGCTAGTTCAAGTGGCTTTTGGCAAACTTCAACCTGTCTTTGGGGTGTCTTTTACCAAGTAATGGCTCCTTTGGTGGACTTCTAGCATTCAAATTTTCATCGAACAGACTTCGGAGAATAGTGCCAGCCCTGATTCTCAAGCTCAGATCCGCTTTTATAGTCCTACAGGATGCAAAAGGATAAGTTTTGCTGAAGCGCACTTTGCGAACGTCCTCTATAATTGTGGTTTTCCGTATCGCATAACGTTTTTCGGGCTTCGGTTCATAATTTATGGCATTGTAAACCATATTGGCTGGACATTTTAAGGGACACAGAATAAATTGATACGTTTTGCCCTCCTTTCTAAGCTCAATCAATTTTTCCTTTCTCCCTTGAAGCAATGAGGTCCTCTACCCACTAAAGTTAATTTTTTTCTATATTTATAGTGTATTATGGTTCAATTTATTATAATGGTCTTCATTAAAACCCATTTTTACCAAATTACAAACATTTTCGGGACTTTTCCTGGAAGAAAATCAAAAACTGATATTCTAGTGAACAACCAAAATGTTGTGTCCGTGTGCAAAAATATGAAAGAAACCCAAAAACAGACCAAATCTAATGGGGTTTTGTATCTCCATGATCCATTCTACAAAAAAATGTACTAGCGATAAACTAACGAAAAGGACTATGCTAATTAACCGTTATACAGTTTCGCTTCTGTCGCACTGCTATTTTAATGAACACATCTGTATGTCAAATATGTTTCCCTTAAACATTACAACTTCCCACTGAAATAAATTAACATTAACACCTTCTTCAAAAGTCTAAAACATACAACATTTATTTTTCTTTTGAAGAAATAAGAAATACTCTGCGTTTATAGCACTTTAAATTAGAAATACTGTTGTTAAAAAAATTGTCTTTTTTTGTGTAGATTGCACTCTTAGTAATACATAGAAACAATGAAATGCCTTTTTTTTTAACATTATAGCAAAGGGCAACCGAGTTCTGGAGTTACGATCAATTCGTCCGGCAATGTCTCATTGTCGCTTATCAATGTTCCTGATCTAAAAGACGTATGTACTTACAAAAAATACGTTCAATTTAATGACCAACATTTTTTAAATTAGGACCAAATGTCCAGCGAACAAGCTAAAGCATCCGCTTCTGGATTACAATGGGTTAACTCCGTAAATGTAGCTGAATTTCGGAGCTTAGTAAAAACTCTTGTAGGTGGAGTTAAAACAATAACATGGGGTTTCTTCAATTCTAAGGTATGTTTTTAATATTCATTCTGCTTTTATTTTTTTCCCAATGTTTCTAAAAGTTTCAGGTATCTGATACAACTCTTGCTAATCATGAAAAGATATTTGGACCTGAAATCTTATGCTCTTATATCGAATTAGTGTATTATGCGATGGAGGCTTTAGATATTTATACCATTAACGTTAATCCAAATCAACAGAGAACTTCTGGTTTGATATCCAGAAGTAAAGAAGAAAAAGAAGTATTGGAACATTTTAGTGGCATTGTAAGTAATAATAAAAAAATAATAATAATGTGATAAATAATATGTTTAACCCTTGCTGGAATAATTAGCAGGGCCCTATATTTAGTATTTATGTTATATTATATAAAGATATAGAAAGGAAAATAATAAAAATTTAAGGGTATTCAGCGCATAGCCAAATTTATACTCAACATTATAGGTGCGCACTAAGTTCCAGTACGTTCCCCCACTGACCCCAAACGGCTCCAAACGTTTTAAGAAGCAAAAAAAAAACCAGGAAGAACGAGTACCTCGACCAGATACCCGTTACTCAGCTAAAGGGACCAAAGGGAAATGCAGATATGCAAGCGAGATTGAAATGCGCCACCTACCCGTGATCTCAGTATATGGTTATGTGGGCGGTAGACTGATTTAAGCGTTAAGGGCGTTAGAGTGGGCGTGGCAAACTTTTTTTTGGATCAATCGATAGACTAATACACTTCAGTTAACATTTTTTATCTAGCATGCAAATTTTGGGCGCCACAGGTTTGAGTGGGTTTGTGGCCATTACAGTGGGCGCGGCATATTCGCGTAACAAACTTGCGCTGCGTACAAGGCTACGGAATTTAAATCTGAGATCCCATTTCTCTATGTTTGATAGTTTCCGAGATATCCGCGTTCAGATTTACGATTTTTTCAAGTTTGGTATTGATATATCAATAGGTATTGATAAGAACAATACTTTTCAGTTAAAATTTGTATTCTAGCTTAAAAACTGTAGGAGCCACAGTTTTGGGCGCCTTGTGGGCGTTAGGAAGGAATCTGCATACCTAATCCCAGTATTGTAGCTCTTACAGTTTCCGAGATCTCAGCGTTCATACGGACAGACGGACATGGCTAGATCGACTCGGCTAGTGATCCTGGTCAAGAATATACAAGGGTGGTCAAAAGTATTTTCACAAAAAAAAAGTTAAATATATTCATAATTTGAACTTACATCTTGTTAACTTTGGCATCAATGGAAAGGTAATTTAAATGCCGTTTGAATGATACAATACATTTCTTAACACATTCAGTACTTATTGAAAAGGACGAATTTGTGTGAAAATGTCCTTTTTGAACTTTTTTCCTCGACTTGAAAACTTAAATTTTTTGATGCAAAAAGTTTCTTCAAAAATAATAGTAACTGCAAAAAGAATTTTTCAAAAACCATTTTGCTTATATTTTTTATGGTTTTTTAAAGGTGACACTGTTGGAAAAAATTTGTATGAAAAAGAGAAAAATATGCCTAAAATGCATGTTTCTAAGCATTTTCAAAAAATCATAAAAAATATAAGCAAAATGATTTTTGAAAAATTCTTTTTGCAGTTACTATTTTTTTTGTTTGAAGAAACTTTTTGCATCAAAAAATTTAAGTTTTCAAGTCGAGGAAAAAAGTTCAAAAAGGACATTTTCACACAAACTCGTCCTTTTCAATAAGTACTGAATGTGTTAAGAAATGTATTGTATCATTCAAACGGCATTTAAATTACCTTTCCATTGATGCCAAAGTTAACAAGATGTAAGTTCAAATTATGAATATATTTAACCTTTTTTTTGTGAAAATACTTTTGACCATCCTTGTATGTACTTTTTGGGGTCAGAAACGCTTCCTTCTGCCTTTTACATACTTCCTGACAAATATAGTATACCCTTTTACTCGACGAGTAACGGGTATAAAAAATGTTTATATTATGGGACAAATCATAACCAACAAAAATTTAAATATCCCTACACATTGGGGGTAAAATTTAAAACAAAATTTAAAAAAAAGGTACACCGTTGTAGGATCATAGATGGCCCACATGCTTAGCGCTAGTGCTTCTTTATCCTTGCAGTGGGTATATTGATTTCAGTCAATGAAGGAGACGTTTCCGACCCCTTAATGCAGTTTATGCAGTACTGCATATATACACTGCTGGTCTTAGGTTAGACGCACCCACTTTTGTTTTAAATAAAATGCTATATTTATAATAATGCTTGATCTAACTGTCCAAAAAGCTTTTCTTATCAGAGTTTGAATCTTGCTCGAAAAATATGTGCTCACAGCGTGTTGATTTGCGAAAAAATAACTGTACATTCGAAGATTCCAGAAATTTCCATGGCAATCACGCGTGTTTTCGGTTGGTCATTAAAAAAGACGCACTTTAGATTTCTTTGTCTTGCGTAAACAAGTGCAGTTTTTTGTATTGAGTATGTATTAAAAAAAACACACAAATTGTTTAAGAGCTATATTTAAAGTAAAAACCCTGTAAACATTGCCAAAAAGATAAATCGCAGCTCCAGGACTGTTGATCGATATTTAAAGAAACCAGAGGAATATGGAAGAAACTTCAAAGGAAAAAAAGAACACTATCTGAACAAGCAGTACTCCAAATTGTTAGAATTGAAAAAAGATGATTTGCGAAAAGATGAGCTATATTTAAGTCGCCACCACAGCCGAAAAGGTGGAGTAATGGTGTGGGGTGCCATCACGTTTTATGGAACAATTGACTTGATTTGTATCGATCAGAAGATGAACGGCGATCGCTTCAAATCATTGTTGGAGTCCGTATTTCCAAAATTAAATGATCCCTTTGGACCAATTCCTTGGATTTTTCAACAAGATTTTTCATAACGCTCGAGAAGTAAAGTAGTTTATTTCGATTCAAAACGTTAATATCATGACCTGGCCACCATATTCTCCAAATCTTAACGTAATTGAAAATGTTTGGGGCTGGCTAACGAGGAAGGTATACGAAGGAGGAAAGCAATACAAAGATAAGGAAACATTACCTGCAGCTATTAAACGTGCTTGGAGCGAGATTTCGTTGAAATACCTAGATTCCCTGAACTATTCTATGAAGGACCGGATATATGAAGTTATTAGTAATAAAGGAGGCAGTACTCATTACTGAAATGTTTTATTTATTTCTAATAAATCAAATATTAATACCCAATTACAAATTTAAGTTAAAAATAAGGAAGAACGCTATAGTCGAGTACCTCGACTATCAGGTACCCTTTACTCAGCTAAATAGAGATATGCAAGTAGCAAAGCGATTAAAATGCGCCACCTACCGGCGGTATACAGATTTAAGCGTTATGGGCGTTAGACTAGGCGTGGCAAATTTTTTTTTGGACCAGTCGATAGGTATTGACGAGACCAATACATTTCAGTTAAAATTTTTTATCTAGCATAAAAATTGTGGGCGTCACAGGTTTTTGCGGTTTGTGGGCGTTAGAGTTGGCGTGGCATATTCGCGTAACAAATTTGCGCTGCGTATAAGGCTACGGAGTCTAAATCTGAAATCCCAATTCTCTATCTTTGATAGTTTCCGAGATATCCACGTTCATATTTACGATTTTTTGAAGTTTGTGGGTGGTTTATGGGCGTTAGGGTGGGCGTGGCAAACTTTTTTTGGGTCAATCGATAGGTATTGATAAGAACATTACATTTCAGTTAAAATTTTTATTCTAGCATCAAAACTGTAGGAGCCACAGTTTTGGGCAGTTTGTGGGCGTTAGAGTGGGCGTGGCACTCTACTGAAATAAACTTGCGCTGCGTAAGAAGCTCAGGAATCTGCACGCCAAATCTCAATAGCCTAGCTCCCATAGTTTCCGAGATCTCAGCGTTCATCCGGACAGACAGACGGACAGACGGACATTGCTAGATCGTCTCGGCTAGTGATCCTGATCAAGAATATATATACTTTATGGGGTCGGAAACGCTTGCTTCTGCCTGTTACATACTTTCCGATGAATCTAGTATACCCTTTTACTCTACAAGTAACGGGTATAAAAATGTCAGTGGGGTCACCCAAACCTGTGGGAGTGATGGCATCAGTCCCGAATCCCAACTTAATATCCAGCATTTTTACCCGATCTGAAACGGAAGCTATGTCGCATTTATCGGCGCGGGGGAGTTTAAAACTTCGCTGCCGGCAGTACACACAGGTTCCGAAAGGTCTGGAGGAGTCCCTGGTTTCGCTAAACAGCCTGAGGTGCCAAACACTTCGGAGGTTTCAGTGCCTACCGGAGAAGAAAGCTCTGTAGGAGCCCCTGGTCCCGATAATCAGACGAATGTTGTTCTAATTGCTGGTAGGGAAAGAGACTCTCGATTGTTCCATATAGGAATCAGTTAATTGTGTTTCCCCTGAAACCACGTCTGCAGAGTTTCCATGGCAAAGCATTACAGTAGAAGAAATAGGATATCTTCATTTTAAATATCTGCTCCTCTTGAAGTATTTCATTTACTAAATTCCAAAAGTTTTTGGTTTAATGATGAATTAAAAATTTATTCCATTAAAAATTTGTTCCAAACAGACGGAGAGCTAATAATAGGCCTTCCACGTTAGTACCTGCGCCAAAAAACTGAAAAGTTGCTTTTAATAAAAACATTCTAGCTTTTACTGACACTTCGCTGAAACCGGAGATATCTGATTCAAAAGTTCTGTTCAACAATTTTAATTTTAAAACGGCTGATTGCCGTTACCTCTAGTCTAAAGTCGGAGAGAATATACTCTCTTAATCCTAACAACATTGAATTTGTTTGTTTCTTTGCAATTTTCATCTATTTTTCTAACCTGTTCAATCTCATCTTTGAATGATAAAAATTCCCCGTTTTCAAAGTTTTCCGAGTTGAAGCTCACAATAGTAAGGTAAATCTGTGTGTAAATAAAATAATTAAATAATAACAAAATTTAATTTATTCTTAATCAATTTCATACCCTTCAAAGTAACTCGCTCCCGGTAAAATAAACCCAATTTTTTTTCCAATCTTCGAAACATGCCCAATAGTCCCTTTCTGGTATAGCTATCTCCTGACTCGATTCGAAACGCGTTCTAAGCAGGGGTTTCTTGAGTTTTGGGAATAACCAGAAGTCACACGGAGTCAAGTCAAGCGGTGGTTGCTGAACGATATGGTTGAATTGACGAAATGGTCACAATAAACAAGTGCAGTGTGAGACGGTGCATTATCGGGATGCAAAAACCAAGAGTTGTTGGCCTAAAATGATTCATGC